TCATCCCAAACTCTCCCTCTTTCATCCCAAAGAACCTTCCCAGAATGTAATGAGGTTTGTCAGTTGAAGGGCTCCTTCAAGGCTATCAGAATCAGAGCCTGAAGGGCTAGAAGCCAAATCCACATTCCCCAAAGCTCTACCACATACTTCCAGTTGGGGAGCTGATGTTTGGATGTCTTTGAAATCCAAGGATACCTACTCTGCTCACATCTGGAAGGAAAGAGAAGACACCTGAAGATTAACCACCCTCAAACATCTCTCTGTACAGAAAAATAGCTGGTATTTATTTTCTAGCACTTCTCTGGCTTTTTTCCTATCTCCGGCTGGCAGGCTCATCTCAGTTGCAGAGGCCTCATCCCACCCAACCTCTTCCACTCCCTATCATCCCCCTTCGTGCCCAAAAGTGCAGCTGCAGACTCCATGAGCCCATCCCTCTGAGGCACTCATCTTTAACATGTGTCTAGAGGGTCCCCTGTTGGAACCTAGCAGTCTCGGGCATGCTCACAACCACAGTAAAAATAGGAAAGGTCAAGAAAGACTTGCCTTTGTCTCTGGCCACTTCTAGCAGTTTCAATGCTAGCATAATGTAGGCACTCAAGTACTCTTGCACCCATTATTACTAGAATGAATGACTAGAACTAATACCTGGCTGAGTCTTGGGTTTCCCAACTTCCCTCATCTAGCTATTGGTACAGCAATTAGGGCAATTGGTCTGACAAGGTGAACAAGCCTGAGGCCGGCACACTACTGACCAGTGTTGCAACGTGTGGTTGTCATTGGGCCTCCCAAGTGATTGTAAAATCATTGAGTCTGAACAAACTGCCGCTTGACAGTATATGCCACCCAGGATTCTGTATCATGGCCAGCACAAAGCTGGGAATTAATAACTGTGAGTGATTATCACAGAAACTGTCTCTAGGAAAAATGACCAGGTTTTTACCATTCAACCTTGGGGAGATAAAATCAGGCCTAGCAGAAAAAAGACAAATGATCTAAGAGCAAATGCAGGACTCCAGATCCAAAGAGCATTCTGAGGCCTGATTATACACCTGTCTCATCTCCCTGTTTCAGAGGGGAGGGGGTGTCTCCATCCAGCCCATCAACCAACTCCAAACCCTGCACTCATTCTAGACCCTCCCCAACACCTCCTTGCCCTTATTCCCTGTCAATTTTGCCTCTCTGTAGGTCTCTGCTTGCCCCACTCTGTGGGACCTGTGAAGACCCTCCTTGTCTCCTGCTACAACCTCCCTTCAGCGTTCTCCATCCAACACCAGCCCTGATTCTAGAGCATTGCCCTACCTAAAACCCACCAATGAACAAGAATGGCTAACTATTTACCCTTGTGAAGTCTGGGTAATGGGAACATGGAGGATTATTTTATTATTCTCATTATGTTTGTGTATGCCTGAAATCTTTCATAATAAAACGACTCTCCAACAGCCTCCAGGGATCTCAGGGTAAAGTCCGAAGTCCGCAGACTGACATTCAAGACCCCTCAGGATCTGCCTCTACCCGATTTAACCAGTTAACCTCCTGGCACTCACCAGGCTGCAGCTTCTCTGTTTTCCCAACCTTTGGAACCCAACTCTCTCTTGCAGCCCTAGTTTTACCCCATGCATCTTCTTCTTACAGAACACATTTCCCCTTGTGCCCTGCCTAGAAAACACCTCCTAATCCCTTGGAAATCTAATGCAAATGATCCCTGGTCTGGGTCACCTTCCCTACCCTCTAGGGGCAGGGAAGAGGGTGCCTCCTCAGGTCTGATATACAACAAATACCCAATAGGTGTTTAAGAGAGACCAGAATGTCTTGGTTAATAGAATGTGTGCAATATTTACTTGAACTTAGGCAAGTAGGGTAATCTTTCTTGGCTTCTGCTTCTGTCTCTATAAAATGAAGATAATAGCAGTACTTACCTCACAAGGCTGGGGTAACGATTCAGCGGTATTCTCTGTGTAAACAGTTTAACACAGTACCCGGCAGAGAGAAGGGAAGAAAGAGGGAGAGAGAGAGGGAGAGATGCTGACTGACTTACAGACAGACATACTTCAATCAAAGAATATAGTGGATAATTATGCAGCTTGTCTTAAATGAAATGCTTCCAAATCCTACAGGGAAAGCATTGCCACTTAGCTCTTCCTGGGAGCTAGAGAAATTCGTGGAAAATCGTTGACATTAAAGTCACGATTCCTTTCTCCGGGCTCAGGGGCTATTCATACTTTGGAGGCTTTTCAGAATTCGAGGGGAGTCCTGGACCCTCCTATTTGGAAGAATCTACTATTTGGAAGGATAGTGCAGGGTCTGTGCCTGGGAGTTGGCCAGAAATCCGGGGGCTAGGAGGGCACGGGGTTTGCACGAAAATCAGCCCCGGTGACAATCCCCGGTCTGTGAGGTCTCGGTGGGCTCGGGGCCCCAGGGGTGGGAATCCAGAGTGAGAAAATCTGAGTAGGGTCTGGTGCAGGGCCCCCCACCTGCCAGCCCCGCTCCCCTGGGCCGCCGGGGCCTCGTGCGTCACCGGCGCGGGCGGGGACCGAGGGGAGGGCGGCACCGCAAGGTGAGGGCACCGCGCTGCCTTAAGACGCCGCGCGCCCCCGCTGCCTCTTCAGAGCTTGCAGCGCGGCGCGCTGGCCGGACGTGCGGGCACAGACGCTGTGCCCCGCTCCTGCTGCGCCCGCAGAGCCCGCTGCCCGGTGCCAGATCGCAGCCGCCCGCGCCCCGAGAGGCGGCCGGGACAAGCGCGGGGAGCCCCGAAGGACCCGCACGCGGCGCCAGCGACGCCACGTCCGCAGCAGCAACAGGTAAGCGGCCCGGCCCTACTCCGGGCTCCGTGGCCCCCAGCACCTGGACGGGCCCCTAGCCTGGAATCCCACGACGCCCCTCTGCAGCGGCCCGACGGCTGCTGAATAACCAGGCGTGGTGGCCCGCGGTGCGGCCCCTTGTCCCCTTTCCCTAGCCATCCTCCCGCCCTCGCGTTTTCCCTCGCACTTTTTCTCGTGCGTTCTTCCCCCCATCCCTCCCCATTCTCTCGTTTTTTCCTCATCCTTTCCCTCTTCCTCAGCTTGTTCTCTTTTATTCTCTTTTTTGCTTTTTCTGTCTGCGTCTCTCCCAGTCTGTCTTGCTCTCTCATTCTCTCACTCTCACGCTCCCATTTCTTCTTTTTTCTTTCTGTCTCTCTCCCTCTCTGTTGCTCACTTTCTCTCTGTCTCTCTGTATGTATCTCATTCTTTCGCTGTCTCTCATTTTCTTTTCGTCTCTCTGCCTCTCAATCTCTCTCTCCCAGCCTTTCTGACTCTCCCCACCACCCTGCACCCCTGCCTCTTTTTCCTTTCTCCCCAGCTCTTCCCCCACTCCCCTCGGCTGCCAGCAACACCGAGCAGACCGGAGAAAGCAAAGAGGATGCCGAATTGGGGATTGGGACGGGGATGTGGAGGGTGAGGGTAGGGGAGCTCAATAGGCATCCTCCCTGCATTTTCTAGTCGCCATTGCACTGCTGAGAAACTAAGGGTTTTATAAGCCAAAGTCCACGGTGGCTAGGGCGGCAGGTGGTTTCCACGGCAAAATAAAGTCTACAGGGAGACAGAGATCCAAAGAGACAGAGATTCAGCCAGAGAAAAACCGAGGTGAGGGGCCGTGAGAAAAAGATGTAGAGAAATAGAGATGCGCACACACTCAAAGATATAAAGCAAGTGTTTAGCCAGAGTCCTGGGGTGACAGGAAAGTGAAGGACAGAGAAACCAACTAGAGAGTGCACGCACTAAAGAGATAGCTTGAGAGACAGGTGAGACAAGCAGTAGAGTGTTAGAGATCAATGGAGAGAGAGGCAGAGCAATGCAGAGAGAACTTAGGCAGGGAGAGACAGAAACCACATGGAGAGACACAGAGACAAGAGGGTCCGGGAAAGACAGAGCAAGCACACACGTGCCAGGGAGAGACAGAAACCACATGGAGAGACACAGAGACAAGAGGGTCCGGGAAAGACAAAGCAAGCACACACGTGCCAGGGAGAGACAGAAGGAGACACCTAGAGAATCAGAGGGAGACGCGGAAACAAGAGAGTTGGAGAGACACAGAGAGGGCAGAGACACAGAGAGCGACATTGAACAGGTGCGCTAGGGACCCACAAAGATGAACTGCTAGAGAAATAGAGAGAAATGGAGAGACAAGAGAGTATTAGGGAAAGACGGAGACACACACCAACTAGCCAGCGACACAGTAACAAGCAGAGACACAGAGAGACAGAACGGATCAGAAAGAGACTGAGGGAGAGACAAGGGCAAGACTGTGAGAAAGATAGGGAGCGAGAGCGCGAGCCCTGCAGAGAAAGTGCGCTAGCAAAAGAGACACACACAGACAGACTGAGAGACAAACAGAGAGGAAGAGAGAAATGAGAGTAACAGAAAGAGACAGCATGCACGTGCTATCGAGAGACGGAGAAACAGAGACAGACATGAGTGAGAGACAAAGATGAGAAAGAATCAGGAAACGGTGAGACACATACAGACACACACCCGGAGAGATACAGAAAAAAAGTGCGCTAGCGAGAGACACTGGAGAGAGACAGAAACTGACTATCGTAAACAGACAGAAACAGAGAGCGCACGCGCATGCGCTAGCGCTAGCGCTAGCGCCCAAAACTCCCGGGAGCCAGAGACAGCGTGAGAGACAAGCAGAGAAAGCGCGCGCACGCACGCGCCAGCAGGAGAAACAGATCAGAGGAAATCAGAGCCCTGGAGAGAGACAGGCAGACAGATCTGAAGAGTGCGGAAAGGAGCCATAGAAGCTGCCTATACTGGGGATGGGGCTGTGCGGGAACCCGGGGTAGGGGGTCCTGCAGCGCCCTTGCTGGGCGCGGAGGCTTCTCCCCTTGACGGGTGACTAACTCTTCCTGCGTGTTTCTTTTGTCACCAGCATAGGCACTGAGTGCGGTCTGTGCACCCCTTTGCCACCCACCAGTGCCGGCGCTGAGCCTGCACCCTGTCTCACGCCCTCTGGCTGTTGCCATGACGTCCACCTGCACCAACAGCACGCGCGAGAGTAACAGCAGCCACACGTGCATACCCCTCTCCAAAATGCCCATCAGCCTGGCTCACGGCATCATCCGCTCAACCGTGCTGGTTATCTTCCTCGCTGCCTCTTTCGTCGGCAACATAGTGCTGGCGCTAGTGTTGCAGCGCAAACCGCAGCTGCTGCAGGTGACCAACCGTTTTATCTTTAACCTCCTCGTCACCGACCTGCTGCAGGTTTCGCTCGTGGCACCCTGGGTGGTGGCCACCTCTGTGCCTCTCTTCTGGCCCCTCAACAGCCACTTCTGCACGGCCCTGGTTAGCCTCACCCACCTGTTCGCCTTCGCCAGTGTCAACACCATTGTCGTGGTGTCAGTGGATCGCTACTTGTCCATCATCCACCCTCTCTCCTACCCGTCCAAGATGACCCAGCGCCGTGGTTACTTGCTCCTCTATGGCACCTGGATTGTGGCCATCCTGCAGAGCACTCCTCCACTCTACGGCTGGGGCCAGGCTGCCTTTGATGAGCGCAATGCCCTCTGCTCCATGATCTGGGGGGCCAGCCCCAGCTACACTATTCTCAGCGTGGTGTCCTTCATCGTCATTCCACTGATTGTCATGATTGCCTGCTACTCCGTGGTGTTCGGTGCAGCCCGGAGGCAGCATGCTCTGCTGTACAATGTCAAGAGACACAGCTTGGAAGTGCGAGTCAAGGACTGTGTAGAGAATGAGGATGAAGAGGGAGCAGAGAAGGAGGAGTTCCAGGATGAGAGTGAGTTTCTCCGCCAGCATGAAGGTGAGGTCAAGGCCAAAGAGGGCAGAATGGAAGTCAAGGACGGCAGCCTGAAGGCCAAGGAAGGAAGCAAGGGGACCAGTGAGGGTAGTGCAGAGGCCAGGGACAGCAAGGAGGTCAGAGAGAGCAGCATGGTGGCCAGCGATGGCAGCGTGGAGGGTAAGGAAGGTGGCACCAAAGTTGAGAACAGCATGAAGGCAGACAAGGGTGGCACAGAGGTCAACCAGTGCAGCATTGACTTGGGTGAAGACGACATGGAGTTTGGTGAAGACGACATCAATTTCAGTGAGGGTGATGTCGAGGCAGTGAACATCCCGGAGAGCCTCCCACCCAGTCGTCGTAACAGCAACAGCGACCCTCCTCTGCCCAGGTGCTACCAGTGCAAAGCTGCTAAAGTGATCTTCATCATCATTTTCTCCTATGTGCTATCCCTGGGGCCCTACTGCTTTTTGGCAGTCTTGGCTGTGTGGGTGGATGTCGAAACCAAGGTACCCCAGTGGGTGATCACCATAATCATCTGGCTTTTCTTCCTGCAGTGCTGCATCCACCCCTACATCTATGGCTACATGCACAAGACCATTAAGAAGGAAATCCAGGATATGCTGAAGAAGTTCTTCTGCAAGGAAAAGCCCCCGAAAGAAGATAGCCACCCAGACCTGCCCGGAACCGAAGCTGGCACACTGGGTGGTACTGAGGGCAAGATTGTCCCTTCCTACGATTCTGCTGCTTTTCCTTGAAGTTAGTTCTAAGGCAAACCTTGAACTGTCCGTAACACGAGAAATAAGAGCAGATTTCTTTTCAATGGACCCACAATCCATTAATGCCAAACCATACCATTTCAGGCAAAGGTGTTGCACACACATGCTCTTCACCACGAGGTAGATAAATATATAGAAAAGGCAGGAACTGGGGTCTTTCCTTAAAAGGGTGGACTTGAGGATTCTGACTGAAATTTTCCCCCCAAAGATTATTAGGCTCTAAATTTCTTAAAGCAACAAGGGCTATCCATTTTGGACCTGTACTTGGTATTCTGTCTTTCCAGAGCTACAACATGCCAACTTTAGCTCTGAAGGAAAGGGAAGATGATGCTTGTGAACTTAAGGACTTTTCGGCCCTTGGGTTGGGAGCTCATGGGCCAGAGCTACAGCTTATGTTCAACTGAAAGAAAGGCAATGGATCAAATCATTCATGGAGCCCAAGAAACAGAACCTAATGGACTGATCAACATATGAGCCAAATTCTGAACTGAACAGCCCCACAGCCGGGTGCAAAGACTGTTATGCGAACTAAAACAAAGGGCCTCCTGCAGTTAGAATCTCAAGAAGGTTTCTAGATCCCGTAAAGGGATCCAGAAAGGTAGAAGGACATGTATGAAATGGGAAGCTAGTTCAAGGGAAAAGATCGAGAAATAACACACATTCGGGGGGCTAAACAGTTGACTTTTTTTTTTTTTATAAAATCTTGGGTTTATGCATGGGCTAGGACTAAGGTCATTAAGTGTAAATTGCCAATTGACACAAATATTTTCTGTCTCCTGTTTGAATAATAGTGGGGCAAAAATCATGCAACTATTTTACAACTTCCCTTATGTGACTGAATTGAGATGCTGGTAGGAATTCTTCAGATCTCTGCCAACCTTGTGTTTTCTTTTGGTTTGTTTTTGTCAAATAAGCCTTTTATATTCAAACAGTATTTATAGAAAAAAAGAAATTCAACTAAAAGTGGCCTAAATCCTACAAAATTCATAATGTCACTGAGGAACGATTTGTTCATCAGAAATATATTTTGTGTCCATGAGATCATAGACAATAATTGTGATCTCCACATGGGGAGCAAGGAAGGCAGAATGAACATTTTTCTTCCTTCAGGCACACCCATGTGTCTTTTCCACCTGTGGCTCTCTTTAAAGCTTTTAAGCTCTCTGTAGATGTGAGAGAGAAATATCAGAGAGTCAGAAATGACAAAGAGGATGGTTTCACAATACCTGGAAAACATCTAATCTATTCCAAACAGTCCTAAAATCAAAGCATTCAGGTCAGACATATCCTAATTAATGCTGTTGAAATAAATCACTTTGGGAAAACTTTAACAATATCTAAATTATCCCTAGGGTCAATTCACAGGAATATTTCTCAAATCCCAAACTGCAAAATAACTTTGGACAGGGATATACGTATATATTTCTGAGGGCATGGGCCGTATATATGTGACCAAGTAACATGGAACCAAAAAAAACAGTCAAGCTAGTGTTTTTGATCCTCCTATAGAATGAGTTAAAGCAACTCTAAAGTCAACCAACTGTTCATGCAGAAATCCACTGTCAATATGGGTGGAGGGAGTGTTTGGTTGAAAATGGTTAATCAGGTAGTTGTATGATGTAAGATGACCATCTTCAGAGTTTAACCTCATTCTTGTGTGATTGTCATGCCTTTATTAGAACTCATTTCATTTAAATAAATGCCCAGCTCATTTATATTTTTTATCTCTTCCTCCTCACAGATTTCAACATGAACTTCTCAAGGGGGAGAGGTAAACAGCAGTGTATTTGGACTGTGAATAACTCCGCATGGGAATTTGGGATTGCCATGTTCAGAATTTAGGAAAGGAGAGGGAATAGAAACAAATAATATAGAGCTGACCCTTCAAATAAAAATACCATGATAACCTTATTAATTCCAACTCCATTAATTTGGAACTTGTAGTCATTCAGACAAGGCACGGGGGCTGAAGTTTACCCTTACACTATCATTTATTTTTCTACCAAAATGCATAAAGTGAATTAACAGTCATAAATTTGTTCTACCAATTTATCACCAAACTCTTGTACTGACCTGTCCTTAAAGGATATCTGGGTGAAGAAATGGCCTATGTGATCAATCTTCCTATGGGGGAGGGGTAGTGCCTTGAGGTCTGTTCAAATGGTCAAAGGAATTCAAGGTAGCTATAGCTTATCCTTTGAGTAGAAATGCTTACTTGGGTAGGAAACAGGATTTCAAACATAAGTGTCTCCAAACATTGTGTTAAAACTGAACTTCTTGTTTTATTTTTAAAGTTCACCCCCTTCAAAGTGTATCAGAGAAAAGTGTTTGCCAAAATCCCAAATCAAAATGGAACCACAACCTGTACCAGTATGGTAAGTCCATTTAACAGCACACACAACATTCTCAAGGGCACCGAGATTCCCTGCTTTCCTTTTTGAAGTTCCTCTTTTCCGTATTTTAGTCGTTGTCCATTATTTTGGTAAACTGGATCCTCAAAAGTGAAGACCTTTTGAAAATACGAACCTGGAAAAGAGGACCTTTTCATTAAGAGTATTCTGCTTTGATGACATTTTCTTCTAAATGAACACTAAGGCCTATGGTTAGCTTGGAGATAGCAAGTACTTGAAATTTTTTGCTATTTTGAATAAAGCACTATCAACTTAATGAGGTTTTACTGCACATACTGTTTTGTCATTTGAAAATCTGAAAGCACACACAAAAAGTCATCATTAGCCTCACAGATCCTCATGTGCAATAGCTTTCCCTGAATGTTTTTAAAGGAGGTATTCTTTTGCCAAGGCCACTTCATATGTGCAGTAAAAAAAATCCCATTAAAGTACAGGGCCCAGACAAACCAGACTATGAAATGATGTGATTTTAAATTTAATGATTTTCCTTATTTACGAATAATAGAGCATCTAGTTTGCCAAGAAGTCGCAGGTGCTTTGACTAACACACCAATTTCCACAGGCTTGGGAAGGCAGTAATAAGGAGCAAGCCCTGGGCTTCCATGATTTCTATGATTCTAGGGTCCCTCTTCTCTGAGACACCACAAGTACCAGCTGCTTGGAAGGCCTCTGCACTTCCAGCTCCCTGCCTACTTCTTGCCATCAGCCCACTGCCTTCACCTGCCTCACTCCCTCTCCCTCTGCTGCACTGGCCCTTCAGGAATAGTCCATGCTTGAAGCTCTGCGTGTTCACCTACTCCCCATCCATCCCTTCCCAACCCAGAGCTGACAGATTCACAGGGACCTGGGGGCCTATGGAAGCAGGGAAGGAGAGAAGTGAGCCATAGGAGTGACCAGCAATGAAAGGTATTTTTCTGTCTCCTACCCAACTCCACACCAATTTAGAGATGACGGGATACCTACTTCAAATTCAACAGGTAAGGAAAAGTGCCAGTTATTATTTAGTAGAAGGTAGGCGCCTCATTTTTTACCAAAAAAGCACCCGATATTACACATCAGTGGGGGAATAGTCAATCCTGTAGATACTGTCCAATTATTTCAGCAAAAATGAAACACTAAAAAATCTTTTACCTACAAAATTATAAGATGCCTAACATTGCCTTATTTTATACATAATTAGTCAATTAAGCTAGGTAAAGTTACTTCAAAAAGATTTTTTCATACTACCTGAAGGATAATTTACATGATTAAACTCGGCTTACTTAGACTTTGCCAAAAAGCTTTTAAAAGTGTCTGAAATACATCATTTGGAAGAAAAAATAATAATACACATCATCTGGTAATTTGAACTCTCAAGATAAAACTCTCATGAGTTGTTGGGATAAAAAAATGAGTAACAATTTAAACTACTGGACTGTATTTTTCTCTCATAACCACCCTGCCCAATATTTTGAGAAGAAAAAAACAATAACGTGTTTTCCCCTCATAATCTCTCTTCTGTTGTATTCCTCTTTGAGGCAGACCTCATGCTGTCAGGAGAGGTTTCTCTAAGCAAAATGCCGTTTCCTTCTAGAGCAGACAAAAGATTACAGGAACAGTTGGCTGTTAGCCAGTGGCCAAGATAAGGAGAGAAAATCTGGCCAGTCAATGGCTTTTAACCCTCTCCCTCCTTATCTCTTTCTCTTACTTTCCGTGGGCTGGACTAGAGATCTCGGCCCTCAAAGCCCCTCTAAGCTAAGGTATGAGGAGACAGAAGCAATGAGCTGGAAACAGCAAATGTGATAGTCTAAAATCCAAAAAGAAGAGAAATCCTTGTCATAAATTCTTTCCAATTACTTAGCAATGATCTCTTCCTCTACGGCAAATGCCCAGCTTGCTTATAGCTGTCTTTTGCCATAAGCAACAAAACTGGCTAGAGGAAGAAACAGGGAAGCTAAAATCCACTGAAAGAGGAAGAAACAGGAAAGCTAAAATCCACTGAACCTGGCCACAGATTGCCAGGTCACTGACAAGTTCACTGCTCTTTGGTAAATAGAATAAGAATCCTCAAGGTAAATGAAGGTTGCTAATAGGTGTCAAGTGTTTCCATCATTGCCTCCCAAAGCCTCCATATCTCAGAGTACACACACCAAGGGAAAACCACAGTGACTTAGACACTCAGCAGGAGGTTTACTGTGTCTGAGGAATAATTACTCTATCTGTCTTGTTCTAAAATGTAGAGAAAAACAAGATTGGTTTTAGTTTGATGTTTCAAACGTAAGTGGATTTCCCCCCTCTTCATCTGTGCTACAACTTTGATGTTAAAAGTTTGGTATTTTCGTCTTGTTTTAGTGACGTAGTATTTTTTGTAGTAATCCTCCTAAATGTAAACTATAACTGTATATAAAATGTAAGTGTTCTTGGAGATACGGTGCTAGATATTAGATCGTATGTGTTTGTAGATAGTGTCGTCCTCAAAGGTAGTATGTACATGTAAAGTTAGTTAATAAAATGCATGCCAAATTCTATGTGCGACCTACACTTTGGTCAGTTTCTGATGTAGAACATAGTACACTTGTTTTTTAAATTTAAAGTGTATACTATAGGATATGTAAAATGGCGCCAAGGTGGGGTGGCAGGAAGTGGTGCCTTTCATTCCTTAAATCCCTAATATGATATATGACAGGTGAGAACTTATTCTGGTACAATTGGTCATTAGTGTGAACTAATCATCTTGGCTGAAGTCCTTGCTGACAGTTTTTCACCACACGCTTGGCACTGGTATGCCTGTTTTCTATTCACTGAATATATAGAATGCAAACTCAAAGAAGACCATCCTTCTCCATTAAAAAGGAAGGACTCCAGGATAAGCAAGTAGAGTCCAGTCAGCAGGACGGAAAGAATACTGCACTCTGAAGACCCAACCAACACCTGACCGTGAACTGACAGGTTTTGTGCTTGGCAGATCCATAATGTGACCATCCGTGCCCTCCT